ACTAAACCAGGACTAAACCAGGTCTAAAACAGGATTTAACAGGACTAAACCAGGTCTAAAACCAGGTCTAAAACCAGGTCTAAAACTAGGACTAAACCAGGACTAAACCAGGACTAAAACAGGACTAAACCAGGACTAAACCAGGACTAAACCAGGACTAAACCAGGACTAAACAGGACTAAACCAGGACTAAACCAGGACTAAAACTAGGACTAAACAGGACTAAAACCAGGACTAAACCAGGTCTAAACCAGGTCTAAAACCAGGTCTAAACCAGGACTAAACCAGGTCTAAACCAGTCTAAACCAGGACTAAAACCAGGTCTAAACTTAAACTAGGACTAAAACCAGGACTAAACCAGGACTAAAAAGGACTAAACCAGGACTTAAAACTAGGACTAAAACCATTTGTGGACGTTTTCTTCATTTTCTAATCAATAATATTTTTTATTTGTTCAGTAAACTGACTTTTATTTCTTTTATCAGACAAAACATCTTACGTTGATTTCTCCTTGCTTCTCCAGGACAAATCAAGTAATCAAAGTATTCAATTATTTACTCACTTTAATACCTTAATGATTCGTTACAACTACATTTTGGGGTATGTAATCTGTAATCTGTAGGGGATTACATTTTAAAGTCACCTTCCCAACACTGACATGTATGTCGTATGTTGTCTTTCTTTTCTGTTATTAAAAGTTTTAGAACAAGCGAACGTGTTTACCTGAAAAACACAGAACCAGATCAGTCCTTTGACACATCAAACCAGTGAATATAAGAAGTGTTTTTCTTATAATATGTATAATCCAAACATCAAACAGCTCCACAAAACACAGAAACACCCGAAACTGAATGTCGCGCTCACAGTGCGCATGCGCTGTGGATCCATGTTCTGGTGGTGTGCAGGTTTTAGCCCACAAACGAGTAACACAGTAAAGTCCGTGTCAATAACCAATTTGTTTTACTTTTTTTTAAAACAAAACAAGAAAATACTTAATGCATATTATTTTTAAGGAACGTTGAAGCTAAATATAACAACAAAAGGAATATTAGATTAAAAAAAACAAAAAAAAGCTTTATCGGAGACGTGGTTTACATGACTTTTTTATTTTTTCTTCGTAATTCACTCATGCGGACACTAACCAGTCCAGTTACTGTTCAGGATTTAACAGGAGTAAACCAGGTTAAACCAGGATTTAACAGACAACCAGTTTAACCAGGACTAAAACCAGGTCTAAACCAGGAATCTAAACCAGGACTAAACCAGGACTAAACCAGGACTAAAAACAGGATTTAACAGGACTAAACCAGGACTAAACCAGGTCTAAAAACCAGGTCTAAAAACCAGGTCTAAACTAGACTAAACCAGGACTAAAACCAGGTCTAAAACAGGATTTAACAGGACTAAACCAGGTCTAAACCAGTCTAAAACCAGGTCTAAACCAGGTCTAAAACCAGGATAAACTAGAAACCAGTAAACCAGGACTAAACCAGGACTAAACCAGGACTAAACAGGACTAAACAGGACTTAAACAGGACTAAACCAGGAAACTCTAAACACCAGGTCTAAACCAGGTCTAAACCAGGTCTAAAACCAGGTCTAAAACAGGACTAAAACAGGACTAAAACAGGATTTAACAGGACTAAACCAGGTCTAAAACCAGGTCTAAACCAGGTCTAAAACCAGGTCTAAAACCAGGTCTAAACGGTCTAAAAGGTCTAAACCGGACTAAACCAGTAAACTAAACCAGGACTAAACAGGATTAACAGGACTAAACAGGAGTAAACCAGGTCTAAAACCAGGTCTAAAATAGGTAAACCAGGACTAAACCAGGACTAAAAGGTAAAACAAGTCTAAACCAGGTCTAAAACCAGGTTTAAACTAGGTCTAAACCAGGACTAAACCAGGACTAAAACAGGATTTAACAGGACTAAACCATGTTGTGTGGACGTGTTTCTTCATTTTCTATCAATAATATTTTTTATTTGGTTCAGTAAAATCTGGACTTTTTATTTTCTTTTATCAGACAAAACATCTTACGTTATGATTTCCTCTTTTGCTTACAAACTCATTTTGGACAGTAAATCAGGGATTAATAATCAATGCACATTACAGTAGTTAAACAAAAACACCTGAAAATCACTCAGTCCACGAATGTCCGCGAAACACAGTGAATGTCACACGTGCGCATGCGCTGTAGGATCCATGTTCTGTGTGGTGTGTAGTGCTGACCTCTAGCGGCCAAACCGAGTATGACTACAGTAAAAGTCCGTCTAACTAACGCAATTAGTTTTACTTTTTTTAAAAACAAAACAACTGAAAATATTAATGCAAAATAATATATATTTTTAAGGGAACGTTTGAAGCTAAAATAAATGAAAAGGAATATTAGATAAAAAATAAAAAAAAAAATTAAAGCTTTATCAGAGACGTGTGTGTTTTAATGACTTTCTTTTTCTTTTCTTCGTAATTCCACTCATTGCCGGACACTAAACCAGGTCCAAACCAGGTCTAAAACAGGATTTAACAGGACTAAACCAGGTCCAAACCAGGTCTAAAACAGGATTTAACAGGACTAAACCAGGTCTAAACCAGGTCTAAAACCAGGTCTAAACTAGGACTAAACCAGGACTAAACCAGGACTAAAACAGGATTTAACAGGACTAAACCAGGTCTAAACCAGGTCTAAAACCAGGTCTAAACTAGGACTAAACCAGGACTAAACCAGGTCTAAAACAGGATTTAACAGGACTAAACCAGGTCTAAACCAGGTCTAAAACCAGGTCTAAAACCAGGTCTAAAACTAGGTTAAACAGGACTAAACCAGGACTAAAACAGATTTAACAGGACTAAACCAGACTAAACCAGGTCTAAAACCAGGTCTAAACCAGGTCTAAACTAGGACTAAACCAGTAAACCAGCTAAACCAGGACTAAAAGGTCTAAACCAGGTAAACCAGGTCTAAAACAGGTCTAAAACAGGACTAAACTAGGTCTAAACCAGGACTAAACCAGGACAACTAAACAGGATTTAACAGGAAAACCAGGAAACCTAAAACAGGATTTAACAGGACTAAACCAGTCTAAACCAGGTCTAAAACCAGGTCTAAACCAGGTCTAAACAGGTCTAAAACCAGGTCTAAAACCAGGTCTAAACTAAAACAGGACTAAAACAGGATTTAACAGGACTAAACCAGGTCTAAAACCAGGTCTAAAACCAGGTCTAAAACCAGGTCTAAACCAGGTCTAAAACCAGGTCTAAACTAGGTCTAAACCAGGACTAAACCAGGACTAAACCAGGACTAAAACCAGGACTAAACCAGGACTAAACCAGGACTAAAACAGGATTTAACAGGACTAAACCAGGAGTAAACCAGGTCTAAAACCAGGTCTAAATAGGTCCAAACCAGGGACTAAACCAGGTCTAAAACAGGATTTAACAGGACTAAACCAAGTCTAAACCAGGTCCAGGTCTAAAACCAGGTCTTCTAAACTAGGTCTAAACCAGGTCAAAACTAAACCAGGACTAAAACAGGATTTAACAGGACTAAATCCTGCTGTGTGGACGTGTTTCTTCTTCTTCTATCAATAATATTTTTAATTTGGTTCAGTAAAATCTGGACTTTTTATTTTCTTTTATCAGACAAAATATCTTACGTTATGATTTCCTCGTCTTTGCTTCTCTGCAGCAAACCAAGTAATCCAAAGTAATCAGATTACATTACTCACTTTAAGTAATTTAATGGATTACGTTACAAACTACATTTTGGTGTATGTAATCTGTAATCTGTAGGGGATTACATTTTAAAAGTCACCTTCCCAACACTGCACATGTAGTCGTATGTTGTTTCCTAAGTTATAAAAGTTTTAGAATCAGAGGAAACGTGTTTACCTGAAAATCACAGAACCAGAGTCAGTCCACGTTCACCACATCAAACCAGTGAAGTATAAGAAGTGTTTTTGTTTATAATATATATAAATCCAAACATAAAACAGCTCCACAGAAACACAGGAAACAACCGAACTGAATGTCCGCGCCGTCACACGTGCGCATGCGCTGTAGGATCCATGTTCTGTGTGGTGTGTAGTGCTGACCTCTAGCGGCCAAACCGAGTATGACTACAGTAAAAGTCCGTCTAACTAACGCAATTAGTTTTACGTTTTTTTAAAAAACAAAACAACTGAAAATATTAATGCAAAATAATATATATTTTTAAGGGAACGTTTGAAGCTAAAATAAATGAAAAGGAATATTAGATAAAAAAATAAAAAAATAAAAAAATTAAAGCTTTATCAGAGACGTGTGTGTTTTAATGACGACCTCTGGTGGACAGACCGGGCATCACATTTAACACCACAGTACAAAATACATTTGATCTTCCAACGTTATTATTATTATTATTATTATTATTATTATTATTATTATTATTATTATTATTTCTTTTTTTTTATTTCACCGTTTAAATTAGTAAAAAAAAAAAAAAAAAAGTACGTTTATATTTATGTTTATATTTATTACACACATCTTTATTATTAACTTCATACACATGTTTCTTTGTTGTCAAAAAAAGGGCATCTGTTACAGTTTTGTGGAAGCATTTAAAAATAAAGGAATAGAGGTATAATTAATAATATTATATAAATAAATAATTTCCTTAGAATTGTTTAATAAACAAATTTATACAAAGTATGAAAACAATGTTTTCAATCAGGTCCGTCCAATTTGTATTCTACATTTTAGTGAGAATGTTTTATTAACAAATTAGATGTTTGCTGTTTGGATCGGAACTATTTTACTAGTTTTCTACAATCATAAATTATCTTACATCATTTCCCTTAATATAAATATTTTTCGTATGAAAGGGTAAAAACAAACATTTAAATTTATAAATCTTTCTAACAGTGAGTCCAAAGTATAAAGTCAGGACCAAAAAATTTACCAAAATGATTTTATTTCAAAATTCCAAAATGTGGGCGGTCACCTGGGCTCCCATGATGCACCTGTGGCGAGCACGAGCACGAGCACGAGCAGCAGCGGCGGCACGCGCTCCTCCAGCAGCAGGTGTCCTCGTGCGACGGCGCCACGAGCTCCGCACAGGTACAGCGCGTGCAGCTAAAACTACACGGAAAATACAAAAATACTCGAAATTTCTGCTTTTACGGGTATTTTATTTATTTATTTGTGTTTTTATTTATATGAAGTCACGGGGAAAACGACGGTGAATTTAATATTAAGCGGTTGTCAAATAATAATAGTAAGAAAAACGTTGAAATATCAGTATGACGCCGATGCTTTTTACTGGACCAATGTTTGAATATTTTTCTTTTAGTTCCCATCATTTTCTTCATGTTTTGTCTTGTTATTCTGGGCTAAATCCAGTCATTATTGTTAGTTTTTTTTTCTTAGGGTTTTGGCTAAATTTTTCAGTCGGATATATATATATATTTATTATTTTTTATTTGGACAAGTTCCAGTCTCTTTGAATATATCTGCTTAATTTTAACACGTTCAGCTTCTGTTACGACTAATTTATTTTAATACACTTAAATACAGAGGAGGCAGAAACTACTGGTATGAACAGAAGAGTGCAGTAGTAGTAGTTGGAGTAGTCTAGTTGTACTAGTAGTTGTAGTTGTACTAGCAGATGTAGTAGTAGTAGTTGGAGTTGTTGTTGATGCAGTTGTAGTAGTAGTTGTTGCAATAGTAGTAGTATTTGTAGTTGTTGCTGTAGTAGTAGTAGTAGTAGTAGTTGTTGCAGTAGTAGTTGCAGTAGTTGTAGTTGGAGTAGTAGTTGTACTAGTAGTAGTTCGAGTAGTATTAGTATAGTAGTAATATTTGTAGTTGTTGCAGTAGTAGTTGTAGTAAAAGTTGTTGTAGTAGTTGTAGTTGTAGTAGTAGTAGTAGTAGTAGTATTTGTTGTTGCAGTAGTAGTTTTTGTAGTAGTAGTTGTTATTGTAGTACTTGTACTAGAAGTTGTAGTAGTAGTAGTAGTAGTAGTAGTTGTAGTAGTAGTAGTAGTAGTAGTAGTAGTAGTAGTAGTTGCAGTAGTTGTAGTTGGAGTAGTAGTTGTACTAGTAGTAGTTGTACTAGTAGTAGTTGTTCGAGTAGTATTAGTATAGTAGTAATATTTGTAGTTGTTGCAGTAGTAGTTGTAGTAAAAGTTGTTGTAGTACTTGTAGTTGTTGCAGTTGTAGTAGTAGTAGTAGTAGTAGTAGTAGTAGTAGTAGTAGTTTTTGTAGTAGTTGTTATTGTAGTACTTGTACTAGAAGTTGTAGTAGTAGTAGTAGTTTAAAGGTAATTGTTAATATTTAATCCAAATGTCAGTTTAATGTTTTGTTGTTTCCAATTTTCTTTTTCTCCAAGATGACAAATTTTCATTTTGATTTGAAATTTCATTTTGATTTAAAATTTTCATTTTTACATAACGTCAAGTATTTCAATCATGTGAGAAGTTACAAGTGGGAAAAGGAGCTGTTCTTCAAAATAAAACAGACCTCAAGCACAACTTTTCCTTTTATCCTCACTGATTTTATATTTTATTATTATTTCTTCATTTATGTTTCGTCATGAATAAAGAAAAAGCTGATGTAGGTGATGATGTCATTTAATATCTTTGCAAATTTTGTCTTTATTCTCGTGCAGTGTGTCCTGTTGGAAAAGCTGAAGTGCCGATCACAAACGCAGAGCTCGGCAGATGATCCGTGCTGCACTTCACGGTACGTCAACACAAAATACAAATACACACGCAAAAAGAAAATAAACCAGGTCAAATAAATCTGCAATCTGAGAGTTAAAAGACAAAATCCACCACAGAATTCTGACCTGTCGTCCTCCTTTTGGTATTTAAAAGTAAAAAAGAAAATGAGACAAGATGAGATTTTAACACAATTCCTAACACATAATACATTTCACAATTCAGTTTCCAGTTTGGGCTCACAATTATTTTATTTTTTTTTTGTTGTCTGATCCAAATGTAAACAGTTGGAAAAAAAAAATCACATGAGATCATCTCCCATCCCTACAGGTTGGGCTGCTTATTTTACTAAAACACAGTTAAGATCATTATATTTAAATTTTTTACGAAAACATTTACACTCGTTTTCCCAGTTCTGACATTTTTTTAGGCTTAAAATTTGTCTTCTGAGCTGGAACATGGATGGATGGTTGGATGGATGTCGTGACATCACATTAGGGTCAGGTTGTAGTCGAGACCAAGACCAGTCCGAGACCACTGGGTCCTCTGACCCTGACCTCTGAGGGTCGAGACCGAGACGAGACCAAGACTTTTAAAAGTCAAGACCGAGACAATCTTTAACTTTCGACATTTATTTGTATTTTACAGTTATTTTGGCACATTTATATCAATGTTTTATATAAATCTGTCTCCATTTTATCACTTGTCGAGTATCAGACCTCGAGACCGAGACAAGACCTCGTCTAAGCACCTTCAAGATCGAGACAAGACAGGGTCCAAATGCGGTCAAGTCCGAGACGAAGACCGAGTCAGAACCGCGTTCGAATCCGAGACGAGACGAAAAAGTTTCTTAGATGTAAATTGTGCCAAACTTTTGGATAGAATTCTCCCAGTTTTTTTTTTTTCTTTTCTACACACGGAAAAGAAGTTCACACTACACTTTCTGCACAACATTTTTTGACTCTTCTTCACAAATTTTAATATTTACAATTGTTATAATCCCACCAAATGAAGTCAAAGAATCATCCAAATCTGTCCTACGCACTTTAAACTCATTTGTTCAAAACTTTAGTCTTTATATAAATACATGTTACCTCGTACTTGTTTCTGTCTAGGTTTTTGTTTTACTTGAGCTCCCCCTGCTGGTGTCGTCCTGCGAGTGCAGTTTGGCTCAGATACACACAGATCTGGCCTGTGTCTTTTTTCTTCTTTCCTCTGGGGTTTTCTTTTGGACACCGCTCCACATGACTCATTTGACTGACAGCTGAAAAACACAGGTGGAAGCGAGGAAAGAGAAACGAGGGCATGGAATATTTTTGAGAGCTTTGGCCACGCCCCCTGTTCATGTCGACGACGATGATCAGAATCCAGAGCTGCCAAAGACCGATAAGCTCTGGGGCGATATGTAGGTCAGATTTTGAGTATTGCGCTGGAGATTTAAGTAAAGTAAGTCTTTATTTATAAGATAAGATAATCCTTTATTGTCTCCCATGGGAGAAATTTGTCTTGGGACAGGGGGTCACATGCTTTATCAAAAAACAGGACAACACAAAGCAGCACATAAACAAACACCATAAAACAAAGTAAATATGAGACCAGTATGACCACGAGTGATGCACCAACACGACCCTTCAAATTATCCTTAACAGGCAAACCTTTGTATTTTTCTGTTCTATTAATTATTGCACATTCCCTAAGCCTTTTATAATTATTATTTATTTATTTATGTCGGTCACAGGTATATTTTGACATTAATTCATAAACAGTCATATTTAACATATACAGACCGAAAAGGTGCAGGCTGAAGCTTAAGCTTATTCTGCCTTTACCCTTTATTCCTTTGTCAGAGCTTCAGCTTGACACCAGTTCATCTTCATAAATACAGCAGGAAGAAACAAACTAATCAGTAACAGAACAACAAAGTTCTACAGCACAAACTAAGTCTCATATTTCATGTATCTGTCCAGAGTTAAACATTTAAACTTCTTTATGAAGTGAAAGAAAGTGGTGCACAATTTTAGGTTTTCTGTCCAGTTGTTCCAGAGCTCCACCCCTTTAACAGATTTACAAAATTTCATAATGTTTGTTCTGATTTTCTTTTTTAATAAACATGGTCGTGCCTCTGAGCTCGTATCGGCTCTTTCGGATTTTGAACATGTTCTGTAACGATTTCGACAGGAGATTGTTGTTTACTTTGAACATGATTTTAAGAGTGTAAAGGTCGACTAAATCATAAATTTCAGCGTTTGAAGGTTTATAAATAATGCATTGGTTGGTTCGGATCGGTTTGTCTCTTTTGACGGGACTCGGACTCGGTCTCGTCTCAGTTTTGTAGGAGCTCGGACTCGGTCTCGTCTCAGTTTTGACGGGACTCGGACTCGGTCTCGTCTCGGTTTTGAAGGAGCTCGGACTTTGAGTGATCATATTTCATTACGGCTGTTGCTGTTGCCAATAATCTTCTTACTTTACCTTCTTACTTCTATGTGGCTGAAGTTTGCCTGATAAAAGTGCACAAAACATCTGTATTTGTCACGTCGTGCGTTTGGTAAATGTGCAGAGACTAAATCCCACTGAAAAAAAACAGTAAGAGAATATAACTCCAGTTATGAACTGGATAAAAACAGATTTAAAAATCCTACTCACTTTATTCAGTTCTGTGTAAAGTGCCAGTGGAATTTCTCTTAAAGACGGAGCCGTACTGTTTGCTTCTTATTTTATGCCTTTATGAACATTAATCAGATAAAATAGAGATAAATTTATTTAAAAAAAAACAAAAAACATTGTTATAAATAACGTAAAATACAAATAAATATAGAAAATTACAAACATGGTCTTGATTTGGTCTCGATGGGCCGAGGTCTTGGTCTTGTCCTGGTCTCGGACTGGTCTTGGTCTCGACAACACTACTAAAAGGAGCTGTTAAATTGTAGACAAACTAATAATTAAAGGTTATACAAATAAATAATGTGCGAATGAAACAAAACGCAACTCAGGTTTGTTTCTGAGGAGGTAACAACATTAGACCATAGATCAGGAAAAAGCCTAATCTGGGACCTTTAAATCTTGGTTGAGGTTTTAGTATCAGACAAATGTGAAATCGAGCAAGGTTACTGGGTCACAGTTTCAGATATTAATCATGTAACTCTAGACAATCTGCAAAAAATAGTGCCAAATACCGGCCTCTGCTCCATCAGGAAGCAACCAGCACAAGAAGATCTAAGTCAACTTATTCCTCACAATCGGGAATAGTCGGAAAAACAAGTGTCTTTTCTAGAGCTTTTGGAGTCTTGATCAGATCTCAAACCCCATTTCCGACTCTGCGAAAGTGCCGTGTGTTTCTCCTAAGTCCCGTGTTTGTTGTCGCGCGCTGTTCGGCGAGACCGGTCGGGCCGCATACCGTTCATAACTCCACGAAGCATCTCCCCGACGTGACTAAGCCCCGACGTCACGCTTCCAGAACGATCCGCACACGCCAACCTCCGCGTCCTTTTGTCTCCTTCACAAACGCTCGACGTGAAGTACATGCGACTGGACGCCGGGTTATGTAAAGTTTGAGTAAAGGCCGGTTTTGTAAGTGTGGTTACATAAGTACTCCAGTAAATTACTCACGCAGGTTATTGTCCTGCTCAGGTTTCTACACACCCGTTTAGAAAAGGGTCACTGTGTCGGTGCCGTCTTTTTACAACATTTTTAAACTTTTCTTTGACTTTTTCATGACCTAAAGTGAATTTTCCATGATTTTACGGCACCTACATGTGTAGAATTTATCTGACTTCTAGAGCTAAATATGATAAATGTGAAATGTTAACTCTTTCCACTCACTTTAAGGTTTGGTTTTATAGTTTTTTTAACATTCAAAATCCTGTCAGTGCATTTATTGTCGTTTCTTTTAAACAAACGGCGCAGACGTTCGGAAATACTCACAATATTCTAATGAGAACTTAACAGAACACTGCAGTTGCGTGAAAGAGATACTAAAATTCCATGACTTTTCCAAAACTTTCATTGAATTTGCATGACTTTTCCAGGCTTGGACAATTATGTTTTCAGTTCCTATGGCTTTTTCCAGGATTTCCTTGACCATGGGAACACTGCATAAAAAACTTAAATTGTACCATGAGATTTTGTAGAGAATTTTATTGGACTTGTGTGTTTCCTCGCACTAGACTGAGTGACAGAAGCAGAGACTTGGGGACTTGGAAGTCACGACTTACTCGAGTCAGACTTGAGTCACTATTTTTAGGATTTGAGTCGTGACTTGATAAAATGGACTCAGACTTGGGACTCGACTTGATCTTGAAGGTCAGCGACTTGAGACTTGGCTTGGATTTGAACTCAGTGACTTGAAAAGACTTGAGGCTTCTATAAAAAATGTTTGTTTTTTTTTAGAAAATACTTTCCTTTTTACAGCTCGTACTCTCACTTCTGTTACTTTGGATAAAACTGAAGTGATACAGTATCCTTAAAAGTACTGCAGTAATATAAAGTACAAAGTAGTAAAACAGAGGGAACTACAGAGAAGATGATCCTTCCATTTAAGTACAGACTATGTGACAAAATAATTTATTAAGCTCTTTTAAATCTGAATTCTTTTTATTCTGACCGTAATGATTCACTCTAAGATCTTATCTACATATTTAAAAAGGAAAAAAAATGCATTTCTACAACTCTTTTATAAATACTCATATAAATATACCACTTTTTAAAGAACAATTTAGCTTAAAAATCATGTAAATTGCCAAATCTAAACTTGTATTTGATGCTTTGGTTTAAAGACATGAAATGACTCTGCTGGGACTTGACTTGGATTTACGGGTCAGTGACTCGAAACTCGACTTGAATTTGTCTTTCTCTTTGACGGGGGACTTGACTTGGACTTGAGACTTTCCTGAGACTTGCGCAACACTAAGATGTTTCCTTCTTTGGACAGTTGTTAGGTTTATCTAAACATTAAAAACAAGAAGAAAGACAAGAGATTAATTCAGTTTTACTCGCAAGGAGAACGGGCAGAGAGTGGGCATCAAACCAACAGTCTCCACACGTTCTGATGACTCAAGGCCGTTCTCCTCTTTTTATTTCATTAGGAGGCCCTAGTTACAGAATGATAATTCTCAAGGGGAAGGGGAAACAGCAAAGACATAATAAGAAACTGGTGCAGCTAAGCATAGTACAAACACATAAAACATGATTAACAATCAGGAGGTGCCTTAGGTCAGACACCATCATAACTCTTGCATGTGTGACAGTGGGAGTTGGCTTCATGTGAGGAATCATCTCGAGGTTCACTAGAGCGATAGGTCACTGCACACAGTTGTCAAACACACAGAGGTTATTCATTCAAGTGATTGGTACATTATAAATCAAAGAATTGTAGTACATAAATGGTTAACTCATAGGCCTAGAATATCACACAAGTATTTAGCAAATATGGGATAATAAAATTATTCTGACAACAGTAGATTTGGTTGTATAGGCACACAAACACTCACCTCTGCTGTTCACATGTTTGAGCACAATCTGCATTTGCATCTGTTCTAATTCGCTCTGTTCTGTTCAGTCCGTTCAGGTGCTTTGTCCGGAGGAAGAGGAGCAGGGGGAGAGCAGAGTCCAGAGAAACCAGGGCAGGGCTGGAGACGTGAGGCTGGACTGATACTCACAACGACCCGACACTTGTACCGAAACCTGTGAGTAACTGTACACATACTAACGGCTACGTTCAGTCTGCAGCCTGAAGTGACCCAAAACAGATTTTTTTTGTTGTTGTCATTCACATTTCCAATTAAATGCGACTTCTTTGTGATCTCCAGTGTGAACTTTAACGCCCCAAAAGTGTCCTGCATGTGCATTGAAGGACACGACGACGTGACACACAGCAAACGTGCTCAGTGTTTACAGAAGTCGCCTGAACTCTGGGCTTGTCTCACAAAATTCGGTCCAGGTGTTGATAAAATGGGCAGGTCACACGTCCACGGCCGCTTCGTTTGTTTGAGTCTTTATCCTCCTCGTATTTGACTTGCAGGTTCTTTATTTTTCGTTGACACTGGAGCCAGGACCGTCTGTAGTTGTGCTCTTTGGCGTTCATTTTAGAAAGTGCCCCCCCAAATATTAATAAAATCTCTAACCTCGTTTTCCCTCCATTGACGAGACTCTGAGCCTGACGTGTAGATGGATGAATGCACCTTGACCGTTCAAAAGATCAGATATGTATCGGTTTCAGGAGCACATATCCAAGTGTCCTGGGTCACATTGGAAAAAAATCGGATCTGTGTCGTTCAGACTGACATTAAAAGATCAGACACAGGAGCATAGGGGCCAAAAAATCAGATTTGGGTCACTTCAGGCTGCAGTCTGAACGTAGCCTTGGACAGCTAGAGTCTTAACCTGTAGATCAGGGGTGTCAAACTCATTTTGGTCCAGGGGCCGTATCCAACTGACTTTGATCCCAAAGGGGCCGGATCAGAAAACTCATGTCATATAAACCCCAAAAATAACAATAAGTTCAAATATTTGTGCAGAGAAACACAAATATATTATCTTTTTTAATTGATGAACTCTTTCTTTTACAAAATATTATAATATGATGAACAACCTGAAACTTTAAGAAAAATATCATTTCAACACAAAGTTTTAACATGAACTCGTTTTACATTAACTTGTATAAATAGGAATAAGTCAATTTTTCTTGGAAAATCCTGCACTCGGCTCCACTTTTCTCATGTTGGACATTTTTCTGATGAGGGTGTCACGGTCAACAGTCAAAACGATCGTCCTTTAAGAGCGTTTGGAAAGAGACAAGTCTTCATTTGTGCTGCTCTGGTGGGAGGGGCCACGTACAGAGACGCTGGAGACGCTGCTGTGATAAACACCACAGAAAATTAACAAGATTTTAATAGAAAATAGAATTAAAATATTTTAGTAGAAAATCAGCCAAGGGCCAGATTAAAGGTCTTGGAGGGCCGGATCTGGCGCCCGGGCCGTATGTTTGACACCTGTGCTGTAGATAGTCTACGTTCAGACTGCGATCTGAAGTGACCCAAATCAGATTTTTTGGCTCCTGTCTGAAATACACAGATCTGATTTTCAGCCTCAGAGTCTCGTCAATGGAGGGAAAGCGAGGTTAGAGAGTTGATTAATATTTGGGGGGATCACTGTATTCAGGAAAAATTGAAGGAGTCTTATCTAAACCGGGCGCTTTCTGAAATAATTGCCAAAGAAATGTCCGAGCGAGACTACAGACGGTCCTGACTCCAACGTCAAAGAAAAATAAAGAACCTGCAAGACAAATACAAGGAGGATAAAGACTCAAACAAACGTAGCGGACGTGGACGTGCAACCTGTACATTTTACCAAAAACTGGACCAGATTTTGGAAGACAAGCCCAGCGTTTAGGCGACGTCCGTAAACACTGAGCACGCTCGCTTTGTGTGACGTCGTCATGTCCTTTAATGCTCATGTGGGACACTTCTGGGGCGTTTAAAGTTCACACTGGAGATCACATACAAGTCGCGTTTAATTGGAAATGAGCATTAAGCCCTGCAGTCTGAACGTAGTCTTGGATATGTGCTCTTAAAACCGATACATATCTGATCTTTTGACACGCGACTTCAGTCTGAACGGTCAGGTCACGTTCATCCCACCTACACGTCATCAACAAGCCACAAACGTCACTATTCTGCGCTTAAGTAGGTGGACAAATGTTCACAAATGTTCTCGTCACACGTTCCTTTTTCTACGGACGTTGCTGCCGCTGTCCCACAAAACGCCACGGCCAAAAACCTCATCCTTCTCCTTCTTGTGGGTTTTTTCGGAAGGTTCAATGCGTGTCCTAAAAAGAAGCACAGGAGATGGAGAATCCGAGAAAACAGGCCACTTTATTTCGTCATTTTCCATTGAGAGGGATTCAAGTTGATTACCAAGTACAACTGCCACCCCGGAACGACGCCTCTGACCAACTCAAACTCAGGGGTAGCTTTATACTACATCTTGACAAAACATTAACTTGTTGATTTAGCATATACAGCAAGAAAATGAACAATACTGCTGACCCAGTGCACCTTATCATGGGTGGGAACATGCCACGGGGACCACATATGTCAGTTTTTCTGCTTCGTGGCATCTCAAAGTCCAGAAAAACATGTTCTTTATGGCACTCAAAGTACAGAAAAAACATGTTATGTAGACCTATAGATAGTCATACGTGTTTTCCACCCTGTTGTCATTCCAAAGTCCATAATATTAGGTGAATTAGCATGACCACCACATAATTTCCCACATTCTCAATCTCCTCCTTAAAACAAATTATCTGTACATGTTCTGGCTCCGACACGAGAGCAACTTTAAAATCTCCAGGTGCTCGATGCTCACGTCCATGTTTAAGCGACTTCAGACACTTTTGGGGTTTTTAAAGTTCACACTGAAGATCACACACAAGTCGCATTTAATTGGAAACGTGAACGACCTCGCAAAAACAATCCGAGTTGAGCGTTAGGCCCTGCAGTCTGAGCACGTCGCCGAATACTGCAGTGCCTGACCTCGTTGCTCCTGTCAGTCAAAGCGGCGTTGGAACGTTTTAAGGAAGATTTTATCTTTTCTTTCTGCTCTTTAGTTCTGATGTTTGTATGTAGAGCAGCGAGCAGGTTTGGGGAGAGGTGAATTTTCAAAACAACAGCGCACTGAAAAGAGGATTATAAAGCTTACGCCAACGTGCCTGAACCAGTCGAAATGCACAAAGCGTTTCAAATGACTTTGCACTTATTATGCTCTACTCACTGTGAGCCTATTTATTCACCTGACTTGATTGTCCACATGAATAAATCTTCTCTCATAATGATTATAGCACAGGGTCTCCAAACTTTTTCCTTTGTTGAGCTACCTTTACAAAACAAAAATGCCAGAGAGCTACTAGTTTTAGCTGTTAGAAGAAATTTAGTATATAAAAGAGCCACAGCGAGCCTTAAATACATTTACATTAGGGTGAGCAGACGTCCCTGTTTACCCAGGACAGTCCCAGTTTTGAGCCCTGTGCCCCCTGTCCCTGCAGATTTATCCAAAAGCTGTGATTTGTCTCTGTTTTATACAAGAAATGCCCCGGGTCCCTATGCTGGACTTATTTAATGCCTGCCAACAGTGAAGAGCGACATAAACTCATTTGTTTAGGTAAAATACAGAAAATCAGCTTAAAAAAAATGTAACTAATCATGAATGAGCTGAGTGCAGAAAAGTTTCCTTAACTTTTTCCCCCCTGGACGCCGACTAGGAACAACTCATACATGTGTTACTAGGGCATAAAAGAAAACAGACTTCCACGAGTGATTATAAATGATTTTTACACTCATGAACTTAATTGTAACACAGACATATTTGTATCTCTGGAAACCTTAGACTCTGAACTCTTCATTTATGGATGTTTAAATGTGATTCAACTCATTTATAGGTGTATAACAGCTCACTGAAAATGAGAGTTTACCTGGTCAGGTGCAAACTCGAAAACAAAAAACTACATTCAGCATCTGATATCTGCATGTTCTGAAAACTATATTCATAAAAAAATTAAAAAGATATACTTTGTCAAAGTATTTAAACAGATTTCATATCACCAGATACAGTACAGCCAAGTGTTCACCTGTTTTTACCTGTTGTTCACCTGTGTGCACCTAATTCATTTTTTTCCATTTAACTTATTCAACTTATTTTATTTTTCAGCTTATTATAATATAATAATATAATAATAAAACTCTTCCCCGTCAGTGTGTGTCCAGTATTTGTCATCTTGGTTTACTTTCTCATGTGCAGAGCTCCACATAAGTGTTTTTTTCTGTAGTGATTCTGTTATACATCGCATCTTGGAAAAAAAAAGACTGAAATATTTTTAAAGGACTGGCCTGGGCAACATCCAGATTTCAGGGCAATTTTGGTTCATAATCGAGTATAAAGCTCAGATAGTTTGTTGGGACATCGCAGGACTCCACACAGACGCATCAGCGGCATCTCACCTTCTCCCCGAAAGTCCGTCGCTGTCGCTGTTTTCCACTTTATAATCAACTTCAACATCATCACTTTGAAATCTATAAAAGTCACTTTCTCTAAACTTATCCATAAAATACGTCCGCTCCTCATTATTTCTAAAACTGTGCGCCGCAGCGCCGCGATCTTTCCATTGCACGTGTTTCGTGTTGTGTTTTTTCCGGAAGCTACAATCGTCACTATTTCGATTAACTTCGGAAAAAATCGGTGAAAACATATCCTTGAATCCTATTGGTCAGTCTAGTGTGGGTTGTAGTGGCCCCACCGATCACAGTCTCTGTTTAAATGTGAAACCCCGAGCCATTTCTAAAGGTCGTCAAATCTCGTCTTTAGTGATACGGCGGAGGTGTCGAAAGTCGTCATTAAGGAAACGGGGGTCGTCAAATGTCGTCTTCATGGGGGAAAGAGTTAAAGGGCCCATCTCATGCAAAATCAACTTTTCAGAGCTAAGAGGGATGTGTGGGCCTTGGATTTGTTGCCCAAGTGTTTTTAAGATTAATTTGACTTTTTTTTGTTGGTTTTTTTTAAACAAATTGCAGTGTATTTCTGCCAGCCTCCCACGTGACGACGAACTAAAGCTGCTACAACGATGATACGGCAGATACGCCTATGACGCGTTTGATGTAGCAGAAAATGCTTAACGCTCCACCGCTCTTCAGGC